GTCCCCGCAAAAAATAAAAAATATATTTAAATTTATTTTATTTTTAAATTTAATTTAACCTTTAAACCTAAACCCAATCTAATTAAAATTAAACTTAACCCAATTTTACCCAACCAAACCCAAGCTAGCCCAACCCATTCTTAACCGTTTAACTCGAACCCTTATTCTCATCGTTCATTCACTCTCACCTTCTGTTCTGCGGTTTTGCGACTAAGCTTTCCCTCCCCTTCTTCTGTGGCTCTACCCTTCCTGTCAACAATCACCTTATGAAACTTTTTCCAGTCAAAGTTCTACTTCTTCTTCTTCTTCTTCAAGCTCAAGTTCTTTGGGTGGAGCTAAGTGATGGCGATTTTGATTCCTAGTCGTTTGTCAATTCTGGTTTTGGCGAGGCTATCTCCAGTCTTGTGTCCTCCTTCTTCGGTTGTGGTGAATGAGTTTCGCTTATAGTGCTGCTTCGTGTTTAGCTCTTATGCTGATTTGGAGTGTGGTTTCGTCGTTGGTTTGTTGGGATCTTGTAGATCTGACACGTCGAGGTTGAATCAACGACGTCGATGATGTCAGTTTTTGTTGTTTTGAATACTGAAAGTAAGTCTAAGTTTCATTTATCTAAGTTTCGGTTTGCTTTCATTTCATCCTCTTTTTTCTATAGTTGTGTTTGGTTGCTAAAAATCTTTGTGGTGATGAGAAACAAAAAGGAAAGTAATATTAGAACTCGAGATATTTGATCCTCTTTCTCTGTTTGGTTGTCTAGAAAATTGAAGATTATGAAAGAAAATAATTTAATTCAAAGAGCTCTTTTAGGATCAACTGCCAACTTAGGACCTTAATCATAAAAATTTGAAGAATTGAATTCTAAAACATTAATTTTCCCATGCTTTTGGAACAAGATTTAAGGGGAGGAAAAAATGTTCATCTTGATTTCTTTTTTTTCTAAATGTTGGAAATGAGCATGAATATGTTAACATGAAGTATATACTAATTGTATTGTAGATTTTTTGATGAGTAAATGTGGATTTTGAGAGTTAAAGTGTTTTGAGTTGATTGCCTCCCTTCTGGATGTTGGTTTAATTATTTTATTTATGCTGGATTAATTTTTACTTATAGTTGGAACAAGTATGTTGGTTTAACTTGGATTAATCTTTATTTATGTTTGAAACAAGTTTGTTGGTTTAATTATTTATGTTGAATTGATTTTTATTTATGTTTGGACAATTTAT